AATAAAATAATACAAGTACACACATCAGCACCGTAGAAATGTACACAGAAAAATTTTGATACTACTAAATATGAGGGGTAAGGAAATATGTACCATWTAATATACAGTCAAACAACGGTAAAAAATACATGTGTATCATTTAGCAGATACCGTACAAGTAAAAAAAATACTGCTGTACTGTACTGTAGTAGATACGAAGTACGTACTCAGTACCCGGTACGAGGTTGTGGTGTGAAATATCGCGTGACAGCCTTTTTCAGGTACTATTTCTACACAGGCCTACGTGAAGAACAGTGCGATATTTTACACCCTGGAGCCCAACCTGTCACTTAGTTCCACCTGGAACCAAAAAGGAACTATTTTATATCGAATTATTTCCTATTTTCGGACCTTTCCGAGCTCACTTTTTTCCTCTCAGAATTCAGATCTTCGAATCGAAATGGACTTCCGGACACTGCTTATTTGCATGGAATAAAATCGAAATCAGAATCGATTCCAAGAACAGATTTCTCTTAACATAAAATAAATAAATCGCTTACTACTGGAGCGCTCTCTAAGGCGCTTACTACTGGAGCGCTAAGGCGCTAACTACTGGGCTTCACTCTTATTTCGTAGCTCCGAGCTTCTTCCGAGCTTTTTTCCTCTCAGAATTCACGTCGGCGAAACGAAATCGACATCCGGACACTGCTTATTTGCATGCAATAAAATTGAAATCAAAATCGATTCCAAGAACAGATTTCTCTTAACATAAACTACACCACTTACACTTCAGCAACTGTACCAACCACTTCCTTTAGAGCCTCCAAAACTGAAGAAGGAAGATTTCTAAGAGTTCTTTCCTCCTCAGTCATGGCTGCAAGGCAGTTTATAGCATCCTCTTGTTGCCTAACTCTCTCCCTTCCTAATGCAGTCTCCCTTATTGTGATATCTTCTTCCTTCAGGTTCTGCATTTGAGCTTCATCAGAGTCCCTCCAGGAAGGCTCTGCAGAAGGGAGATTCCTGACCTGCATCCACAAACCAAATACACTCTCTTTCTTTGCAGGGATTTTCTTCTGCTGTTTCCACTGGCACAACAATTTGAGTGTTGAGACTGGAAGTGACTTGGCATCTTCCTCCTTGTAAATATCTTTCCCCTTYGATACCAATTCCTGAATCACCGCAGTCGCCTTYGCATTCAACTCACWAACTGCTTGGGATTTCTTCTTYGCTGTTTCCAGATCCTTWACAAGCTGTTGTCGCCTCTTCCGTTCTTCAGCAATGAAGTAGTCGTCACTGTTCAGTGTATCGCCTTTGGTCCTAATAAAATGCTCACTAGAGTATTTTACAGTGCCAATCGCATTTTGCCGTTCCCTCGTCCCAGCTTTTGTCACTGGTGTTGCAGAAGCTGATAGCCTTGGAGCATACATTCGGTAAATCTCACCATCAAATCCAGCTTCATTCAGTACTTGAATTGCCGTATCATTCACTTGTTCCCATTCAACAAGCTCAGCTGTCTTAGGATCAGCGTCAACATCAATGCTACCGTCTGGGAGCATAACTAATTCATGAGCAACTTTCTGGTCGTCGAGGCAGCGTCGCGTAAAAGGCACTATGCCGATCTTGGCCCATACTGCCTTTGTCTTCTCAACCGCAAAGGCTTCGTGGAAGGCGTGCTCAAGATGTACCGGTTCGTACCAATTTTTCCGCTTACCAAAAACGAGTAGAGGAAAATCGGTCTGGCGGACCTTCTCCCCATTTTTTCGACGGTGCAACACCAGCTTTTCCAAGTTTCGTCTGTACATCGAATATGAACGGACCGTAGTTTCTGTCGGTTGGCTGAGTGACATGCGTTGAATTTGGCACGCCAGGAAGAAGATAAAAACCCTTTGCACGAAGCTTCACCAGCAACTCTTCATATTTTCTTCCTGGACCACTGTCAAGGATCAAAAGGACTCGCCGGCCTGGAATATCAGCGGCATCAGGAAACGAAAGCCTCATWACGTTGTCTTTGATATATTTCAAAAATTGTTCAGCGTTCATTCCTGCAGTCTCGTTACAGTTGACTGTAATACCATTTTCAACTCGCCCAACGCGACCATAGATACCCTCCGTTTTTGGGACACCGTCRATAAAAGCTGYRTGWATCCTCTTGTYGTCTTCCTCCTTTGCTGTCGATTTTAGTTGGAAGTGAGGGACGAGAGGATATCCAGCCGCATTGCTTCCAGCTACAAGAGTGATTCGCGAGCTGCTCTTGTTCGTGCGATCAGCACCGCAGGCAATATTCTTGCTTGCAGGCCCAWACMGAGTAGGTTGTCGACCRCCAGCRAGATATGAACAGCYGTCYAAWGTCAAACCACTCTCGTCAAGATTAACAATACGATTAAACTGGTTCGGAAGAAACACCAGTTCTCCTTCACCGTCTTCACCATCCATTCTAACTCGAGCAAATCCAAGGTCGACAAGCTTTTCACGTAGTGAATCAAAGAAGGTGTTAATCTTATTATACGTTGTCCACTGGGCGCGTCGTTCTTCCATTCTTGAATTACCCGTCACAACTTTCACTTTATCGCAAACCACTTTGTACAATCGTTTGAACAGGGAATGCTGGTCTTGTAGTACCGTTGGTCCACTCTCAAGGCACGCAAGTAGCATTTGGAGTAGCTCTGGGCGACGAGGTTGAACGTTCATATCTGAACAGCCTAGATTCACCCAAGACGTCATTGCATTGATAAAAGCCGTTTCAATCTTTTCAGGAAGAACCGCCCTTCGCCCCTTTTTAGGGGGGGTTTCTTCCAAGCCCAAGCGAAGCCGTCTCCGCACCGTATCTGGTTTTATATTAGCCTGATAAATCATATTCGTCTCCCTCACAATTTTCGCAATGGACGTATGCAGTTGCTTTTTCAAATTTGCTCGTTGATGCTTTACCTTCGAAATAACCGCCATGTAGGCCTTCCTTTCAACCTCAGCATCCTTGAAATCCTTCTTTAGTCTTGCATGCAACTGTGAAGCTGTATCCTTATTTTCCTTATGCTTTTTCAGCTTCTTGTTCTCCTTATCCAGCATTTGTTTTTCCTTGGGTCGCTTCTTGTTGTTATTGTTTGTAATATCAGACAAGGGGGGGGGGGGGTGCTTCTTCTTTCTTTCTTCTTCGTCTGTGGTGATACTGGAGACCTTTGTTGGTGGCAATGGTGGGGCGACATACTCACAGGGCCTCACCTTTATTCTTTCAGAGCATCTCTGTACTCTTCTTTGCAGTGTTCTGTTGCTTGCCTGCTCAGTTGAAAAGCCTGCAAATTCCATAGCTCCTTTCACAGTGCAATGCAACCCCTGGTCCCTCATATTGAATAGGTTCAAACCAGCGGCAAGAGTCCTAGGACACGGCGCAACCGAGTATCCATTCGGAACCGATCCAATGGCTGCTGTGGTGATGGTGGTGTTGCTTTTGCAGCTGTTGATGTTGTTATTGCTCATTTTGGACCCAAAATACAGCAAAAACTGCTTTTTCTTTCCAAATACTCGGCCGATTGCAATGATACTTTGTGATCAAGTCTCCTTTGATGTATTAAGAAGGTTACGGACACTGGTTGTGTGTTTTATCGAGGGGAAGATGGTTTCTTTTTAGTTACACTGGGGAGTTCGTCGTTGCTGTTTTCACACTGATTTTTCGCTGTGTAGCTTTGGTCCCCTGTTGCTCCAAAACTATCCGGTCGATCGATCCGATACTTCACGGTCCCCTTCCCCTTATAATAATGAAGAGATCCTGTATGTCAATTGCGCTGATAGTGTTGGTTTAAGTGTTGAACTAAAGAGGTGACAGGTCCCTATGTTGAGGTTGAATAAATGAGAGTTTTTTGGATTTTTCGGTCCGGAGAGAAATCAACAAGCCCGATAAGGTTTTCTGAAAGAAACACCCAGCAATGTGCACATTGTTGGAAAGAGAAAAGAAAACCCTTTCCGACTGACAGATTCTCTAATTCTGATTGGTGCTTTGGTAGCACTAACAAGCATGCAAAGCTTGCTCCTGGTTACTAAAAATGGCTCGCGAAAACTTGACTCATAACCTGTTATAAATCGGACGCGATATTTCACACCACAACCTCGTACATTCTGTACAAAGTAGGTAGAAATACAGGTGTCATTGAAGGTTTCCTCACGATTCAGGTGCTTCCGGCGCTCTTTGACACAGTTCATTTCGCAACAAAATGATCTTTGGGCGATCTATTCGCACCAAAGTATCAATCGCAATCGCAATCATCTCATTTGCAGGACTGACAGATCTAGGGTCCAGCTTTCCCATCGCTAGTCGGATTCGAGGAACAATTCTCAACCACTCTAAACGACACAACTTGCACTTGACAAACCCCAACAAACCCACCATGAGTGAGAACAACACTGCCATGTCGACCAATTTTGAATCGCGTGAGCTCTTCGGAAAGACCGTACAGGTCCAGATCCCTCCCGAAGACTTTCCTACGCAGGAACAGATCGATGCCATCGACGCCACCACGGGGGCTGGCTGCCAGCACGGGTGGTACGAATCCTGCAGCGGCGAAGACGCCGGCGGCGGAGCCAAGGCGAACCTGCACTACCGGTACTGGCTGCCCGAGAGCGGAAATCCCATCAAGGGCGTCCTAGTCTATACCCATGGAATCAGCTCGGAGTGTGGGCATGCGTCGCGGATCGATGGCCGGCCGCTAGATGTGGCGATTTTGGTAGATACCTTTAGAGCGAAGGGGTTTGCCGTCTACGCAAGGGTGAGTGGGGATTTATTGATTGGTTCTTCGTCGTCGTCGTTGGTCTGGTATTGTGTATGTTGTGGTTGCCTGTTTCTGTTGCGAATCCACGGAGCAATTGTATGAAGGATTGTTGGAAATTTCTAATTTGCTCATATCCTTCCCCAATGATCATTGCGTTTTATCGCAACACATCGCATCGCATCATGTCTTTTTTGCTAGGATCAATACGGCCACGGATTGTCGGAAGGCACGCGATTTTACATACCGACCTGGCAAGGATGTCGCGACGATTTAATTTGGTTTTTGAAATTAGTGGCAGGCAAGCACCCTAAGAGCATTCCGATGTTCATCTCCGGGGAATCTTTTGGCGGTTGCCTAACGCTCCTCGTGGCCCGTTACTTTCAGGACCGTCCAGAAGAGGCGCCTCCGAACCTGGACGCCTCCCTCCTTATCTGCCCTGCCATTGTAGGGGATGTCCCGGGCTTTCCAGTGTACCAGCTGCTGCGGTACGTGCTGGCGCCGCTTGCACCCACCTGGACACCCTTTTTCATGCCCAACACGGTCAGTGGAGATCGGATCTGGAAGGACCCCAAGGTGGTGGAGCTCTACACGGATCCCAAGAAGGTCAAGATGGGCCTCGACGCGATTGGGCAGCCCTTTCGGCTGGGAACCGCCGTCAACCTGCTCAAGGCGCTGGAGGACGCCCGCGGGAACGCCATTCCGGGATTTTCCCGGCCATTTTGCATCGTGCACGGGGACGCAGACGTTGCGGTTCCGATCGATGGATCGAAGCTCCTCTTTGAGGGCTCAGACACGGCAGCAGAAGACAAGGAGCTTAACGTTCTGGACGATTGCTACCACGGGGTCCTCGCGGACCCAAAGGCCGAGGAGGCCATGGAGAAGATTGTCGCCTTTGTCGACGCGAGAATGAAGAAGTTTGTGGTTCCGGAGTAGTGCACTAGCAAGTACCAAACGAAGTGCGTGTCGAATCTAATCAAGTAAAATACTACATCGCTGAATAGTTGTAGAGAACTTATCACCTATGCCATAGATATGAAGAATTAAATGTTAGAATGTGAGTTCAGTGGGAGTGCTGTTCTTGTTTGTGATTGTTGCTATGAATTGATTGATCCAAGCATCGAAGATAAGCTTCAATTTCTGCTCAGATACATTCTAGTTTTTAGCACCCGCGCGATTACCATTCATACCTGGTTGTAATTTTACAATTAACATACTCCGAACCGCAGAGCGCTTTGATTGGTGGCTTAGCGTCATTATTGTGATTAACGATTTCAAAAGGCAATACCTAGTGTATAAAAAAAATGATAAAACAATTGATCTCAGAAGAACTACATGGTGTTGAAATATCATGATATTCATGGAAAACCAGGATGGCCTAATCAAAAGTAATCGTTTGGAATTAACCTACACCGACATCAATCTACATTCCCTGTTAAGTTTCCTCGACAATGACAAATTTCTTATGAGTATCGAATTCTATCTAAGGAAAGTAAGATGACGCAAGGTACCCAGGCACTTTCAAAATTTTCGAGAATACCATGATGATATTTTCGAATCCTTCCTGTACTCTTTTCACAAATTATTCTGCTACAATACGAAATTTTCGTCTTCATCTCATGAAAGAAAAGAGGACATTATCACCTCATTCAGCGACACAAACATTCTTACAGTAATTTTGAACTAAGGCAACACTGATATCCATCTACCAACAGGGTGCGTGGCTGTGCTATTGCCACTGATCGAATCAAACACTCAAAAACTACCATGAATTTTCATCCTCAATTGCAAATGAACCTTGGGATCCAGCAAGGAGAACAACAGGGATGGGACCATCTTGTTTATAGATCTCTCTACGAAGACATGATCCTCACAAGAACTATGGCGGAAAGCTTGCTCCATGACACCGCCGCATTTGTACAACCTTCAAGCACGACGCCCTTCCTTCTATCCCTGAATTCACAGCAAATTAATTCGTCGATGTTGGCAAGGAGGGCCGCTCTAATGTTGTCGGAGCCTTCGATGCCTTCAAGGAATGCTAGAAGTCCGAATCAGGACATTGATGCCTCCAACGTGATATCCTCACTCATTGCTCGTTCGGAGTCCGCTTGGCAGAAATACATAGAGGAAAACGAACGTTTCGCAAAGCAAAAGGAAGAAGACGCTGCTTGGATGCAAATCTTCCGCGACCAGATCGCATCGAACTCACAGCCCCACAGAGAAATTGCCGCTCTTCAAAACAGGATCGCACAACAGCATTCCCAGCACAACGAGAGGAGAGTCGATCTTCGATGCAGCACAAACGAAGACAGAGACAACGCCTTGTGGGTGCACATGTTCAGGGGGCTTCTTGAGTACAAGAGGGAACACGCAGAATCGACAGTTGTCCCAAGAAAGTACGTCGACCGCCATGGCCGAAAGCTCGGGCGCTGGGTTGACGAACAACGCAGGCGCAAGAGAGCGGGAAAAATACGGACGGACCGCGTGGAATACCTCGAGTCCGTCGGTTTCGCCTGGGACGGGAGAAAAGCCTTTCAGGAACATGCGTGGAACACCATGTACCAACGACTACTATCCTACAAGAAGAATCATGGAGGATCCACCGTGGTTCCGCAAGAATACGCATCGGATCCCAAGCTCGGGCTATGGGTGCACGACCAGCGCAAAAAGATGAAAACGGGCAAGCTCTCGGAAGATCGGATCTCCGCCCTCAACTCGATCGGCTTTACTTGGGAGATCCGACAAGCTCGAAACGAAATAAAGGACAATAGCGGCTCCACGGCACAAACACGGATCCCCAACTGCCATCCCTCCGAGGTCCTCACAAAAGAGGCCAATCACGGCTCCACTGAACAAACACGGATTGCCAACTTCGAAACCTCCGAACTCCTCGCAAAAACCACCGAGCTGATAGATCTCTATCGAGCGACAACTTCGGGATTAGCTTACACCGATGGATATCTTGGATATTTACCGCCTCGAACCCACAGGTGAGGCTTTGCGGTAGTATTTGAAATTATCGGATTTCTTTTGAAAAATGTACATACCGTATGTAATTCTAATATTAATGAGGATACCTTCCGAGTGACAATCAAGATAGCAATGACCCTGATTTTCCCGTACCGTATTACATCCAAAACTCTTTGTTGTTATTGGTATCATTGTAGCCTGTCCTCTTCATGTTGCTGTATCCCCGCGTTGCGTTGCTGCTGTTGCTTGTTTCCCTCCAATCTTTTCCTCACCGTGCATCGCTGCCGCTGTTCCGGTTGCTTCCTGGTGCACCGCCGGTGCTGCCGGGAGTTTCGCGTCGGTGGTGCACAACGTATACTACTAGGACGCCAAACCGACGACGGCAGCCCTTTGGTTTCGATACTCGAACCGCTAGTAAGAGGAAGACCAACAGAACCAACCAACAAGATGGCAGCAACGGTTTTGCCGCTCAGACGACACGCAAGTCCTACTACTAGTTGCTCTCCGGGCCCAGCGACGCGTGGTTCTCGTCGTTCTACTGCATTCTATTTTCGATTGTGCTTTCGAGTACATTTGTTTTGTTTGGATTATAAGGTTATTGCGATGCAAACACTGCATCGCGTTGCGCCGGCGGTGCTGCTGCTGCTGCTACAATCAGGGGCGGTTCCGCAAAGGGCCGTGGTCCCGCCCTCCCCGGCCTCGCCAATGGGTTTGGTTTGTTTATACCAGCACGGGCTTGCCGCTGGCCGGGTCCAACCGAAAGTACATGCTTTCGTTCTCGGCCACGGCGTTCATCTTGGTGATCATGGTGGCCCGGGCCTCCTTCGCCTCCGAACCGTCGTCGGAGGCCTTGGCGTTCTGGGCGGTGGCCTGGAAGAACTTGACAAACTCGGCCTGGACGGGGTCGGCCTTGGCCTTGCCCCCCTTGCCGGTGAGCTTGGCAATGGCGGAGGAGAGGGCGGCCTTCTTGAGTTCCTTGCTGGAGGAGAACTCGGCCGTGACGGCGTCGGTGGCATCGGCCATCATGGCGATCTTGGCCTTTTCGTAGGCGTTGGCTTCCTCGGTGGCAATCATGCTTAGGAGTTTCTCCACCTGGGCCTTGAGCTTGTGCTGGGGCTTGATCACGCCGGAGGCGTTGAGCTTGGCGTAGGATTCTTCCGTCAGGTCGTAGACGTCCTGGTAGTCCTTGACGATGTTTTCGGTGAGCTTCATGTACTCGACGGATTCTTCGAGCTTGGCGATGACCTCTTCCTCGGCCTCGTTCTGCGCCTTGAGCATGTCCTTGGCCTCGTCCTTGAACATGGTGGACATCATTTCTCCTCCCTGCGTGTAGGCAACCACGCAGAATCCCAGAAAGGTCGACGCCAGGAGCGTCTCGGCGTTGGGGTCGAACCACTGGAATTCGAGGACGGGAACGGCGAGTGCCACTCCGACCGGAATGGCGTAGAGGGGGTCGATTCCTCCGGAGGTGGCCACCGGCGCGGCATCGGCTTCCTTCTCTTCTTCCTTGCGGGGGGCAGAGAAGTGAAAGGAAGAGGTGGCGGGGGCGGCCCACCCTCGGGCACTGTTGTGGTGATTGGAACGGACGGGGCGAAACAAAGAACAACCACAAGGTTAGATCCGAAAAACACGGCGCCATGGGCAATCACGAAAACACACTACGGACCGGTCCTCCGTCCATTGGCTCCTTCCGAAAACCTTGTTCCCTCTCTCTCGCCACGGCAGCCTTGCACGCCGTGTCCGTGGTGCGTACACGAGACGCAGTGTAATGCCACGCTTCGGAACGGCCGACGGGTATAGGTGGTTCGCTATGGTGTGTTTGTGTTGGATCGGTTTCGTTTCGTATCTTTGTTTCCAAACACACGGAACCGATCCTCCACCGGCCGTAGACCCCGTGGGCATCGATTGGGTTTCCGTTTCCGTTTCGGTTTCGTATTCCTTTGCATCGGTTTCCCGTTTCGTTTGTCTCCGGAGCTCCCAATCCCCGGTGTCGCTGCCCCGCGTTGCCGCTACGGTGCGTCCGGTGTTCAGGGGTCGTCCGTGGGGATCGCTCGTTCGTTCGTTCGGTGCACGGATTCGCTGCCGGAACCGCCGGGGCACAGCGGCAACGCGCACAAGCCTGCTCCGTTCCCCGGGGCCTTTCCCTTGAATTTAACGGAACCGAATTTAACGGAACCGAACCGATCCGATCCAAACCACCGGCGCGGCCATTTGTCGTTTCGCGGTTCCTTGTGCCGCAACCGGAGAACGTTCCCGTCCGCAGACACCGACACCGACACGAGAGGAAGGCTTCCCCCTCCCCCGCCGTTCGATTCGACCGGTCCGACTCGAATTTTTGGGGTTCTACGCGAGATCCCGGTACAGATTCTACGGAGATCGCCGATGGGGYTGCGCCGATGCGGTGCAACGCGGTGCGATGCGACGGGTGGAGGTGGCCATGGTGGAGGGGAATCCTTTCCCCYTTGGTTCCGGCCGTGCGGATTGTTGTGTGAAATAATTCTGCAACTCGTTTAGCGTCTTTGGTACCTACCCTTGCGATGCCCGCGATACACCCGCCTTGGCAAATCTACTGGTGGCTGTTCTCAACATGGTGTTGGTATTGTGTGCCTGCTCTGGCCTGCTATGCTACGGCACCGTGTAATTGTACCGATCGGTGCATCGCATGCGGGCACGCACAGACATGACTGCTGGCAGTACATAAGTACGTACCGTACTACGAGTACCACAAAACCGTCCGTACCGGTACGTCCATCGATGCGGTWCTACGGTACGGAGCGCAGTTTCGTGCACTCGGAAATGCATCACGTGTACGATACCTACTTGTACTTGGTACCGTACGGTACCGTTCGGCACCGTACGGCAAAAATTCCCTTCGCCGTTTATTGCTTTCACGGTACGGTACCCTACTTAGTCGTTCAACGAGTACTGTATCTTGCGTACGTTACGGTTGTTCCGTTGCGTTTCCGTACCGTCCTGTACGTACGTACCGTACGTACTCGTACTCGTAGCATCCTGCCTATGGTCGTTGCATTTTCGGGAATGGCAGGAATTTGCACGCACGCCCAAGATTTTCTTCTGGTTGCGTGTAGTGTGCGTGCGTGTCGAGCGCGCGTATCTCCCGTTCCGCGCGCGGTGGTGGAGACAGACACAGCGCCGTTTCCCCCGCCGGCGCTCGGTCCCGTTCACGACTGACTCGACTCGACTCGATCGACTCGATCCAGCCGCCGCCGAACGGAAGAAGGCTCGGTTCGGTTCCATTCCACTGTTGTACCGTAGTAGTTCCGTTGCGTTCCCTTGCTGTGGTTGGAGTTACAGTACTGTACGTAGTGTATCGCCACGAAGAAAAAGATGCGAAAAGAACGAGACGTCGACGGCAGGCAGCGGATCAGTTTAGTTCCGTCCGGAACCTGGCATGGCTACGGTAGGTACTCTACTGTACGGCTTGCTGTGGAAACACTACGGCAATCAGCACTACAGCAATTCTTCTTCTAGGCGTTGGATCTTCTACGAACGGAACCAACGGTAGTAGAAGTATGGTACCTCGTTCGTACTGTAGGATTAACATTCACGAATGACTTGAAAAGGTTTTGTCTATCCACTCTGCCTGGTTCGGCATTTCGTCATCAGGCAGTCTACAGTCTAGTCACTCGACGCAACACCGAGAAAGAGGGAAGGAGACTCCCGCAGCTTCCCGTTGTTTCGTCAATCTCTCTCACAGAACCGACGCCGGCCCCAGCTTGCTACGAGTACCGATTGGCTCGAAGCGTTCGTCCGGACCGATAGTGTTTTTCGCTCAACAGGAAACACGACAGAAGACGACACGACAGAAGACGACACGACAGAAGACGACACGACAGAAGACGACACGAGATTACACGACACGACACGACACAACACAACACGACACGACACAACACTTGGTCCTTCCGCACTGGATCGGATCCGTGCTGGTGTTCGACTCGATCGATAGACGGACCCAACCGCACCCCCTGCCGACCCGATGGCGTCGAATCCCAATCTCTCCGCCATGGGGGGGACCCCGGGCGACAACAACGCCTTTTTGCGGGATCCCCGGGGCGGGGGCTTTGCCCCGCAGTCCCCCTACGGGGGGCAGCCACAGCAACAGCAACAGCCACAGCAACAGCCACAGCAACAGCCACAGCAGCCCTACGGGAGCGCCACCCCCGGGAGCATCACGCAGTACGCAAGCGCCGCCGCCGCCATGATGCAGACCCCGTCTCCCCGGATGCCCGGCCAGCAGGCCTCGCCGTACAGCTTTGCCCCTCCCCCCCAGCCACCGGGGGAGGCCCCCGGCATGGGCTTTGCCCAGCGGTCGGCTCTGATGCAGCAGCAGCAACAGCAGCAACCCCCCGTGGGCCCGGGGTACGCCGGAAACTATCCGCAGCAGCCCCGGATCCAGCAGACCCCTCCGCAGCAACAACAGCAGCAGCAGCAGCAACCACACGGCCCGCCCGTGTCGCAGATCCACATCCCGAACAAGCTTGGTCCGTCCAATGCCTATGGGGGAGGAGCCGCACAGGCGGCCCCCGCGCCGGGGTCCTATGCCCAGCGCTACCAGGCCGTCCAGCAACAGCAGCAGCAGCAACAGCAGCAGCAACCGCCTAGCAATATTTATTCGACCGTTCCCGCCGGAAGCAACAACCTCTACCCGCCATCGCCAGTGCGCCCATCCCAGCAACCCGGCCAACCGCCGCAACCAATGGGGGCCAGCGGGATGCCACAGCAGCAGCAGCAGCAGCAGCAGCAGCAACCACCGGCTCCGGCCCCCGGGTCGTTTGCCCATCGCCAGGCCGCCATGATGGCACAGGGCCAGCAGCAACAACAGCAGCAGCAGCAGCAGCCAACGCCGCCTCCCGCTGCCGCCCAGGGATCCTTTGCGCAGCGCCAGGCCGCCATGATGGGGCAGCAAGGACAGGTGCAGCAAGGACAGGTGCAGCACCAGCACCAACACCACCAACAGCAGCCGTCTCCCGGAACGATGCCGCAGGGCCAGCCGCAGCAACACTTCCAGCAACCCGGGCAGCAGCCGCCGCARCCTTCGCCGCAGCAACCCCCCCACCGACCGCCGCAGCCACCGGCAAACCCGAACCACCGACCCATGCTGGTAGACCCCCCCGAGGTCGTTGCCCAGCAGCAGCGCCTGCTGACGGAGGCCACCCGCAAGGTCCAGGAGCACGCCTATTACATGAAGCAGGCCATGGAACGCATGGACCTGCCCACGGTKCTRGACCGAGCCGCCAGCATGGTGGGGGAGCTGGGAGAGCACGCCCACGCCCACCACCACTCCAAGATGCAGCCGCCGTCCCCGGGAGCCACCGGGACGTCCACGGCACTCCAGCCCAAGAACTACTACGAGCTCCACCTGAGGGCCCT